GCAGAAGAAAATATAGATATCTCCTATATCTAGTGATAATAAGTCTCAATTCTGAACCTCAAGAGTTCCTTTTGCGCAATAAAAAATGTTTAAACAATGCTGCTTTGTCGTGGCAGCAGGGCTTTGGCATTATACCCTTAAAAAAAGCAGACTTTCCACTAGAACCAGTTCTTATATGTTGCTTTTTTACCCTTTTTTGTGTTTTTCTCTTACTGCTTACTTTACAACTCAGCTATCATATACCACATGCCATTTTTTATGTTATTTGAGCAGCAGTGAGATTCCAGTATACTCTAAATACAAAGTCCATAACTTTGTGGATTGATGTTGTGCTGATATATGTCACTGACAAAAAGGACTCTTCAATTCCAGTAGTAATATAGAAGCTACATTTATAGATTTCTTCGCTTGTGTTCTGACCTTGGCTTGGTCCACAGGTGCTGAGTATGTGTTACAGCTCTGGCTTTGAGGTGGGTTCAGCTTTTTCTCGTAGTCTTTGATCCAGTCTGGAATGCCTACAAGGATGCCCAAACGATGCAGACAGTTCATGTACCTCGGCTCCGACTGAGCCACGGTCATCAGGACCCGTTTAGATTTGGCCTGGCCCAGGACACGGGAGAAGGGCTCCAAAAACACCTGGAAGAACATAAATGCCAGAATTTTAAATGCACATGACCGTGATGTTTGATTACACATATTTGTTATGTACATTGTATTGTACAAATTGTTGCAAAGCAAAAAGAGACAAGATGTTGCAGACAACTTGAGAGAGCTTTAGCTCTGAGATGTCCAACAAGCCATCTAAGTCTGTGGTTGGCATGACAACTGAATAACAGCGATTTAGCTGAACAAACTAAATTCAGAGGCTAAAGCTGCCCACTCATGTGTTCCAGGACACACTGAAATGTTGTCGCATGTTCCCTTTTTGTTGATTGAAAGCTGTTTACTGGAATCATCAACACATAGTGCCAGCATCGATGTCCAATAACACTAAATATGATCAAGGGTTTGTTGTGCCAAAGAGCACAAACTAATCAAAACATCAACTAGATTTCAGTTGGATATAAATATATAACATATCAGATCTTGATGCATTTTTCAGCATCCACTCCTGACCTGCAGCAGAAGAGCCTGACAGGTTCTGGTGGGGATTCGTGTGAGACACTCCAGGAGGAACTTGGCAACTTTGTCGTAACATGACACATCCTCCTCGGCCATGGACAAATCTAAACGACACAAATTCTGTGAGTCCAGTTGTGCATAATTCTTTTCTATGGAGCAAAATGATTT